TCCCAGAGAACCTAGACTACAATGAGGACCCTAAGGTAGACACACAAAGTTCTAATCTACATGGGAAGTAGAAAAGTAGAAAAATTTACTCGAGTAAATTGGGAGCATGGGGACCTTGAGAGAGGGTTGAAGGGGAGGGGAGAGGCATGGAGGGGAGCAGAAAAAAATGTAGAGCTTAATAAAAATAAAAATAAAAAATAAAAATTATATATATCTCTGTAAGAACGTGGAATAATAAGGACACAAAGCATGTCCTATTCCTGAATGTCTGCTCTTTATCTGCAAAGTCTTCAATTGGTACCTTTAAGTGTATGTTGTTTATTTTTGAAAGAACGCATGAAATTTGCTGAAAATACTGTCAATTTGTTCTGAAGCAAAGTATAGTTATTTTACAAGTATACTTTATTTTTCTTGTCTGGAGCATTGGCAGTTATTTGAATTACATATTATACAGAGCATATTTGCTTCTATTTTAAAGTTAATGACGAGAAAATAATGACACGCTGGTATAAAAGGCAGACACATTGTGTAACTGGAACAGTGTTTTTCTAGTTGCGATGTTTGCACAAGTATTTAGATAGCTTCAGTCTATAGCTATCTGGACTCAGTTTATGTCTGTAAAATTAAGACATTGAAACCAAAAGTTTATTCTTGCCTGAAAGTTTCCTTATTAATTTGAAAGTATAAAAGGTTACAGTGTTCAATGCTCTGTCAGGAACCTCAAATATCACTGTTCAGCAATGAGCAGCCAAGGGCAAGGCAAGGGCTTTATACAACCAAGGTGAGTGCACCATGTGCTGCATTGTGGGCTTTTGAGAGCTTACAAAATTGGAGAGATAATAAAACATCAACAGAAGCTTGTAGTAGATAAATTAAATAAATATGCTGGGTGGTGGTGGTGCACACCTTTTATCCCAACATTCAGGAGGCAGAGGCTGGCCAGATCTCTGTGAGTTTGAATGCAGCCTGGGCTACAAAGCAAGTACCAGGACAACTTCCAAGCTACACGGAGAAACCTTGTCTTGAAAAAAAAAAAAAAAAAAAAAAAAAAAAATAAATATAAAGGAATAGAGTAGTGATAATAACTAAGAAAACTGGCAGACACAGGCTAAGAAAATAAAATTCCGCCCATGTAGCAAATATTCATAGCACCATGGACCGGCCACTGTTCTTATGAAAGATCCAAGGCTGAGACAGGTGAGCTGAGTTAACTCCTCAAGTTAACTCCTTAGCTTGAATGAAGCTCCTTGTGGTCTAGGAAGGGACAGTTCCTGATGGAGTTGTTTAAACTGAGGGAGGTAGAAGTACACGGGAGTATCCTCTGCAGACTCACGTCTGAACACTTGGTCACCAGCTGGTGACACTGATTTCAGTGGCTGTGGAATTGTGAGCAGTGGGCCTGCTGGCAGAGGCACTTCACTCAGAGTTATAGTGCTATTTTATCTGTTTTAATTAATAAAGCTTGATCATAAGGGCAAAGCTAAGCCACTAGAGGTCAGGTGGTGGTGACACACACCTTTAATCCCAGGATTTGGGAGACAGATGCGGATGGACCTCTGTGAGTTCCAGGCCACCCTGAGCTACACAAGATCAATACAGAAACAAATCCAAGTGGTAGTGCCTCAAACCTTTGATCCCAGTTCTAGGGAGTCACACACCTTTAATCCCAGAACTAGAGGGAATATAAACTGGCAGGAGAGAGAGACTTAGGCTGCTTAGTCTGCTGGGCCGGCGTAGTCTGTCTGCTCAATCTGCATTCGCCCAGCCTTGGTAGAGGTAAGACTTCTCCAGTGGCTTGACTGCTTTGCTTTTCTGGTTTTTATGTTGAACCCCAACACTAGCCTCTGGGTTTTTATTATTCGTGCTACAGGGAGTGAATTTTTGAAAACGATAGACTACCACTTCTGGTCTTAGTTTCAGCTTTCTGACTGGTAACCACATTATGCCTCACAACCTCATGCTTCTGTTACCATAGAGGCCACTGTTTCCATGCTGTGATTCCTTAGTCTTCATGAACAATAATCTTATAAGACTGTGAGCTAAAGGAAAATTTTCTTCTCTTAACTTGCTTCTGACAGACATTTTATTAGAGTGAAAAGAATGCAACAGGTATATAGTGGCATTGGCCTGTGCACATCTAGACAGGTACAGCGGCATTGACCTGTGCACATCTAGACGGGTACAGCGACATTGGCCTGTACACATCTAGACGGGTACAGTGACATTGGCCTGTACACATCTAGACGGGTACAGCGACATTGGCCTATGCACATCTAGACGGGTACAGCGGCATTGGCCTGTGTAGCTCTAAGGTTTATTAGAAAGGTAGATGCCTGATTCCACCACTCTTTTTTGGGGGGGTGTTTCCAAGGTTTCTCTGTGTAACAGTCCTAGCTGTCCTGGGGCTCACTTTTGTAGACCAGCCTGGCCTCAAACTCACAGAGATCAACCTGCCCCTGCCAACCCAGTGCTGGGGCTAAAGGCATGCACCACCACTGCCCGGCCCCAGCATTCTTATCTTGTAAGACAGACTCCACATTTGAACATGAAGACTTGGTAACTCGTGTGAAAGTGTGCTTTGAAGTTAACAGCAGAACAGTTATTGTCTATGACATTTCCTTTTGTTCTAGATAAACTCATGTATACCCGGCGTCTATGTTCTGAAAATGTCAATAAGTTATAGAAGTGTAAAAATGATATCCAGAAATCAAAATCATCTCAAAACCGAACTAATATAGCTGCACAGACAACTGTATCGTATTCATATATGGTATTGGGGGAATGGAAAGTTTCAGAACATCGAATGGGAAGGGAAAGGCGGTGACCACTGGTTCGTTGTCAGTTTGAATTGAGAGTTCCTGAAGACCAGGCAGGGCTCAGGCTCATGTACGTCTCATGTCCCAGAAAGAGAACGGTAAGCTGTGTTTAGAGGTGACATGGAAGACTGATTGTGGCTTAGGAAAAACTGATTGATGGAGAGAGAAAGAACTAATTAAGGAGGCAGGTGCGTGCTGACGAGGCTTTGGCGGCATGAGCGTTATCTAGTGTTTGCCCAGTGCTGTTTCCTGTAGTTTTCACACAGGCCATGCAGAACCGGGTGGAGGCTGAGAAACTGGTTCACAGCAAAACCCGATCAACTGCAGCTGCTCACCTGAGGCACAGTAGCAAAGGTGCGTGTGTCACAAAACATACTTGGTTTCTGACAGTTTTTAGTGGGGCAACTTTATTTCTGAGAACTTTTGGAAGCTCGTGAGCAGGAAACAAAAAGCCATTTATTTCTGAGTTACTGAGTTACCTTTCTATGGGGATAATTGGAGGCCCCGTCTCCCAAGACTTCTAAAACGGACATGGAGAGGAACAGATGCCACATATGAGAATGCTTTCCACACTAGCAGAGACTGGGAGAAGACAAAGGATGTGTTTCTCTTGCATCTTTGATTACTGCCGGTTACCATACAAGGATATTTTTCCTTCATCAGGTTGATGTCTTATTTAAATAAAAATGCACTCATCTATTAAAAGAAAAACTCTATAGAGTGTTATTTATCTTCCCTCAGTGGTCTCTGCCTCATTGGTACCCAGCGGGGCTCTTTTTTCATTTCATTTAATTGCACAGTTGTTAATTAAGAAAGGGATTCACTACATAACAGAAGCAGCTTCCCTGCCTCCACTTACTTTTTCCAGGTGAGAGGACAAGCCCACAATGCACTTCGCCTTTTGGAGCCATTTGTCAAGTAGATGGAGAAACCCCGGCATCCTGGAATCATTCCGTGCCTCAGAGACTTTGAGAGGATTCTTTATACCAGTTCAAACCCAGCTCATTTCACCGGGGAGTAATGGTCTGAGGGTGGCACATCTCCTCCTTTGTCCTTGTGCAGATTCGGCATCACCTACACAGGGAGGACCCAAACCGCAGTTCCATGAGACAGCAAATAAGCACTAAAATCTAGTATTCAAATCCGTCCCTTTCCCCTTCCAATTCCTTGAGTTCCGTGCCAGTACTTTCTAGGAGACTCGGTTTCATATGGATACTGCTAGGAATCACCAATGTCAGCTGTGTCAATGGGCTATCCTTCGTGTGTACTAGCTTATGTTAATGTGAGGCGGCTTAACACATTCAAATATCAAGTCACTTTAGTTAAGTTAGCATTGCATCCTGCTATTGTTTCCCTTATATAAAGATAAATTCTTCTGTCTCCTGTTTGTGGAAATGATTCTAACCCAACCACCGGCACCTTACATTGAAAAGGACAGTGGGCTTCGTGGTGAAAAGTAAGAGTGGGGGAAGAATTGTATAGGTTGCCATGTTACTTTATCTATTCTTGTTTCCTCCAGACGGCTGTACCTACCGAAGTGGCGGAGGTAGCCTTTTCTTTCTTCTAAATCATTCTTCTAGGGGCATATTGATTTTCTCTCAAGATCATCCTGTGGTCTCAGGGGATCACGTGGCTTCACACATTGCTCATATTGACAGAGTCCCTTCATCTGTGGTTGACATACATTAGCTGAGCTATGATGACACTGCTCGCCATGGGTTGGTCTGGTGATTAGGTGTCTGCAGTGCAGATTCACAGTATTTTTGTTCTTTGAAAAGCAATTACTGTTCATCCTAAAAGATGCCATTAGCCCTGAGAATGCTGCTTACTCTCTCTCTCTTCCTCTGTCCCTCTCTCCCTCCCTCCGCTTCCTTCTCCTCCTCTTCCTTTTCCTCCTCCTCCTCCTCCTCCTCCTCCTCCTCCTCCTCTTCCTTCTCCTCCCCCCCCTCTCTCTCACTTTCTCTCTTTCCAGAAGTGCTGCCTTGAGTTCTTCTGTGTCTCTACTGGTCCAAAAAAGAAAGAAAAGAAAAGAAATCCTCACCTAGACACTGAAATAGTCCAGTGTTATGCTATGTAGCAGTTTTAGTTGCTGTCTGAGAGAACGGCAGAGACTTGCCATGTGCGGTTGCTGCCATCCACCCCTTACCTTGTGTCTTTCTCTCATTCTGCTTCCTTCTGTTTCAGCTAGCCGTGAGGTGGCTGGAACACAACTGTCATTACCAGCATTTGGACGAGCTCCTGCAGTACATCCGCTTTGGACTAATGGATGTGGATACCCTCCACACGGTTGCCCTATCCCACCCCCTGGTCCAGGCAAGTGAGACGGCAACTGCCCTCGTCAATGAGGCCCTGGAATACCACCAGAGCATCTATGCCCAGCCTGTGTGGCAGACCCGCAGGACCAAACCGCGGTTCCAGTCAGACACTCTCTATATCATTGGTGGGAAAAAGCGTGAGGTCTGTAAAGTCAAGGAGCTTCGGTACTTCAATCCCGTGGATCAGGAGAACGCTCTCATAGCCGCCATTGCCAACTGGAGTGAGCTGGCTCCTATGCCAGTGGGAAGGAGCCATCACTGTGTGGCGGTCATGGGGGACTTCCTGTTTGTAGCAGGAGGGGAAGTGGAGCATGCCAGTGGCCGGACCTGTGCTGTGAGGACTGCCTGCCGCTATGACCCTCGCAGTAATTCCTGGGCAGAGATAGCACCCATGAAAAACTGCCGGGAGCATTTTGTGCTGGGTGCCATGGATGAATACCTCTATGCGGTAGGGGGCAGAAATGAACTGCGCCAGGTTCTGCCTACAGTGGAAAGATACTGCCCCAAGAAGAACAAATGGACTTTTGTGCAGTCCTTTGACCGATCCCTTTCGTGTCACGCTGGATATGTGGCTGATGGTCTTCTTTGGATATCAGGTAGAATGTGCCTCCTATGTTGCATTGATTGGAAAGCGCTTTTGCTGTGGCTTAAATTTAAAAGTCATCTGCTGGAAAGGGGCCCTAAGTAATGGAACGACAGAGCTAACAATGCCATTTTAGCTAACTAACCATCATTTATCGAACACCTACTCTATAGAGAACAATGTAATTGAAAGTAACTGGCCTTTTTGTCATTTTTCAGAGGGATGAGTATTGCAAAAATTCAGGATGAAAATTAGTGGAGCTAATTTTCATACCTGTTTCTCTACCAAGCTTCCTATTGGTCATATTGTCAGCTTCTGAGTATCTGTGGGGTGAATCTCACAACTAATGTTTAACCCAAGACCTTTGCTTTGCCTTACACTCTTGGCTGCCCAGCTGGGAGCCATTTTGTTGGAAGCAGGAAAAATAAAGCCCTAGTAAATCTGTTTTGCTGAGTATAAGAAGAGACTCTCATCCAGGGATTAGCTATGCTGTGTATTGCAGGAAGGGATTAAGTTGATGAAAATAGCTTTGGCATTATCTATGAGTGTTTATCGGTGGTGACATTCATTCCCGTTTACTCTCCCATTCTTGCCAACCTTTCGAAGGAAGTTTAAGGCCTATTTAAGTTCAGTCTTTTCTCTTGTGCTTACAGAAAAAGAGAATGAACAGGGCATACCAAAGCACAGCTTCAGCCACCAGTCACTCATTGCTCATCCTTTTTATCCACCCCCACCCCGGCTTTCTTCAGCCCTGTCCTGGCAGCCATGATGTTTTTACAGAAGTGTATGAGGCCTATGTTATCAGACTCCCAGTATCAACCTGTGTTTCCTATTCTCAGGGGGAGAAGTTGCCTTGTCTCTCAGTTGGATGAGACCCATTTTGTAAGCCAAATAGAAATTGGGTTTCTGTATCACCAAGGTCATATGACAATAATAGAAAGATCCTTAGGTTAAATATTGAAGGGCAGCATTGGTGTTCTGACTTAGAAAAGGCAACCATGTTAGGAATTGATGGCGCCTTGGATTTCCCCAGCTGCCATTTCCAGGTTTTAAACATCCATTTGGGTAAAATTATCTGTAAATTAAATTAGTTTTGGCTCTGTTCATTTTTCCTTCTACTATCTTCAATAACCCAGGAGACAGAGTCTCAGCTTCTCAGGCTGGGGCCTCAGTTGTTCTCATTGATGTAACCTCTTATACTGAAATTTAAGTAGTTTATGAACTAATGCATAAAATATGGAATAAGAACATGCAAAGAGAAAAATAGGACCCCAGTATTTACTGGTCCTATATGCAAGCAAAAGCATTAGACATTAATGTATATGTAGATACATTTAAATAAAATTCTTACTTATTAGTGACTTCTTTCTTTTCCTTTAAATATTTGTTGAAGAAACTTCAAAATGGCTGCAACTTAGTCTTTGCTAGTAACAGTAACAGGTCCTGGCTTCCCTGGACACAGAGTGATGTTGGGTTTATGAAATCAGTACAGTTTGTATTTTGTCCCAATCTGCATTTCTTCCATCGACTCATTCGGTTCACGTGTTGTTAATGAAGCGTATTCTTAAATTTTGCAATGTGCTAAATTGTGTATGACTTTCACATAAATACTTTAATAAGTATATCATATGTGGCACTACAAAACTAGCTTTTAAAATATCCTTGATTTTCCTTTGCCTAGTCATAAAGCCATGACTACTCCTTGTCCCTATCGGTGAGCCTTAGGGGAACAGAAGCTCAAAAACCTGGTCAGACCTACCATCCTGAGATCAAGTGAGCTTTCCTTTTGATAAAGGTTTATGTGCTTCCCATTCCATTTATTAAATCTATCACCTTACCGAATATCTCACTGCCATCTCATTTTGCTTCACTCCTCCTGTGAAAGGAAATACATTTCCTTTGTTCCTCGTGCTAAAGAACGCTACCGGTGTTAGCCATATTTAATGAAAACAATCAGAATTTTCTCAGGCCTGTTTCTCCCTATTGTGCACTTGAGAGGAGAAGCTCACTTTCCTGTGTAGAGCATGAGACCTTTAATTGGGAAGAAGAGGAAATCGCCAGTGACATTCCTAATACCTTCAGTCATCTGCCTCTTTCCTCAGGCCTCGCTGATAATAAATCAATTGTGAATTTAGCCATGAATCGGAAAGGCTGGCCGGATTTACTCCTGGGCCCCTTTAAAGGAAGGCAGGACTAGTTCATCGTCCTGACTCTGATTTGGAAATGTTAGCTTGATTTCTTGGAACAGATGAAGATGTGTGAAGCTATAGCTTAAAGTTGGACAAGTAATCAAGTATTTCCAAAGGATAGAGGCTTGAGTCACTGACATCCTCCCGGTAGTTTGCAAGTTCTGTCTGAGGTAGGGGTGGTGTGGATTGTTGAGCGTGGACCTTAAAGGCTTAGTTCTGTTCCATAGAGCACAGACTGAATGCGCCTTCAAAGAGTTGGTATTTGTAGCATGCCCATTCCCTCTCTGTTCTCCTCCCGTACTATCTATCCATCAAAATGCCCGTAGAAGGCATTTCGGAAACTGTCCATGGCTTGGCTGTATGACAAGAAGGGAATTCGAAAAGCTAGGTTGGATGGATATGCCCATTAGCATTTAATTTAAGGTGTTAGGGACAATCAAATTTTAAAGGCTTCTGTCGCATTTGACACCGTGACCCAGCCTGCAAATGCTCTATCCCATTTTGATTTGAAATCCGCAGTTCTGATGTGAAAGAAGCATTAAATGTCTTGTAGCTGTGTTTGAAAATCCACGCCCTCTGTTGTACAGGCCAGCATGTGAACTACTGAAAAACTCCTTTTGTGTGTGTGAGGGAAAATGGATCTGAGCCCGTCTCGCAGAACTTGTCTGTTTATTGTTATCAGATAGCAGCAAGGTAGTGAGATTCTAACCATGAAATGAGTGTTTTAACACTAGAAAACAAGACAAATGGTCCTGCAATTACTCAAGAGCATCATGTCATGCCTTCTTGATTCTCTTAGTAAGTGCTGTATTCTAAATATTGTGGGGCAGTGCCATAGGTAAATATGATTATTTCAGCAAATTTACCTCCTGCCCTCTAGGAGCTGACAATCAATTTCTTGTCTTTTTTTATTTGTTTGTTTGTTTTTAAATATAGCAACCAAAGAAGTTTTGTTGACATTTCTTTAATTTCCTAACAACTGTGCTTGTTTTCATCTCAGTTGGTTTTATATGAAGCTTCTATTGTTTCATTTTAAATCACTTTTATTCGTTCAAGTCTACTGAAAGAATTTTGGGTTTTGTGTTATCTACTAAGATTAAGAATAAGGTAATTTTAAATAATGCTGTTAAAATGTCATAGCTTTGGTGTTTCTCTAGCTGCAAAAGATATTATTTTGTTTGCATTTAAAATATTGGCAATTAAGAACAGGCATGGCTGTGGTTGGGATGTGAAACATTTAGACAATGAAGTAGCGTGACTCCCAGGTTAGACGATGAAGTAGAGAGACTCCCAGGATAGACAGTGGAGTAAAGTGACTCCCAGGTTAGACAGTGGAGTAGAGTGACTCCCAGATGTGAAACTCGCCTCACTCACCGATCACGAGATGTGAAGCAGGGCTCCTGGCTTCTCTACCTCCTATTGTGGCCTCATGCTAGAGCAGCAGAGTTGGGTCTGGTAGGCAGGTGCAGCCTGTGATGATGTGGTACTCCGAGTATTTCCAGGGTATAGAAGTAATGTCAACAGCAGAAACTAATGTTCAAGGAGGCATGCGAAGTAGCCTCTTGGTCCCAGTGGCCCCAGCTCCTGCTTCTTCCTGTCTTTTATTCTTCCTCCCTGACTTTCCTCTTGAACATCATCATGGGATCACTTTGGTAACCGCTTGTCTCTTAGGAACTGCTGTAGTGGAAACACCCAGCTTCCTGCTTTGCTTGTGTGGTTGTCCTTCAGTAACCACAGGGGATTGGCTCAAGAACAGACACACACACACACACACACGCGGGGGGGGCGGGGGGGGGGGAGACCGCCCATAGAAATGTTCTCAGATGGGAGATAAGGGGTTTCAGGGAAGAGAGGGGAGAGATTATGTGATTATATTATAATCTCAAAAATAAAAGAAAAAACGGGGAGTGGAAATCCCTCATATGCCCAAGTTCCTTATTGAAGATGGCATAATTTTTGCGTAAAGCCTGTGCACATTGTCCCACATACCACAGTGCAGATGCTAAGAAAATAGTTGATATCGAGTATTGTTTAGACAACACTGGCATGGAATACTATATATGTATGGTACCTGCACAGTTTTTGTCCAATATTTTGAAGCCACATTGAATCTGTAGGTGCAAAAACCATGGGTCCAAACGGCTGACAGTTCTAGTCAGTTGAGATTGTTAGGACTGTGATTGGGAGCATCTTCTCAGTTCTCCAAGCACGAGACGCTTCTCAGCTTGCTGCTGCTGGGAGCCCTCTTTCCTACTCTCCTTCACTGGCTTTAACTTGCCTCCATTCTTTAAGGCCCCTCCCTCTGACTTAGACAGAGGACTCTGTCTTCTGTTTTTCAGTGCAAATGCAAGATCACAGTCTGAATGATGGATATTGTGAGGCGACAGATGGGCAGCGGGCAAGACATGGTCTGGAAAGGGCCCAAGGGTACCATGTTAGGAAACACAAGTAATGAAGACACTGGGTCGGCCCTCTGAAAGCATGAGATACCAGAGTCAGTAAGGGAGGGGATTTTGAAGTAACCAGATCCCAAACAGGAGCCCACAGTGAGTGAGACTTGTGTGGTATCACAGAAGTACCAGTCCAGAATACTTTTTCCCATTATAAACTGTCAATGGAAGGTATTTCAGATGAATGGAAGCCGGAGAGAAGCAGAGTGCTATAGTCAAGGCGCAACGAGGAAGTAAGGAGGTAGAAACTACAGGTACAAGCTACGCTGGCTGCTTTCCTGTAAATCCCACAGATACTGTATTATTGAAATTTCATCCCTGAGTCAGAGCTCATCAGACAATGTTATTGTTTGGCTTCCCCTATCCTGCCTATG